TCCCTGTCATTCCTTTTTAGTTTTGCTGTCCTGCTACTCTTAGTCCTACTGCCTTTTGAATAGGAGAATTCAACAAGGACCGGTACTTTCAAGGCTAATTTAATGTTTCTTCTCTGCACTTGAAGTTGATTACTCCCTCTTCTAATCCCCTAATCTCTGTACCACTCATTTAGACACTTTCTTTTACTGCTTTATATTATTAGTTAATATTTAAATGAACATATTTTATTTCTCCAAGGAAACTTAAAAGTTGTTTAAGTTATCACTCCCTTAATGCTTCTATTAGTTCATTTATGCAATCAGGTTTTAGTGCTTTTTCTATTCTCTTTTGGCCAGATTTTTCTATTTTCCAGATGCTAGTGTTACTCAAAATGTTCTATATCTAATTTAAATATTGTTGCCAAATTTAGCAAGTAAAAATATAGGGTGTCCAGTTACATTTGAATTTCAGATAAATATTGAAGAATTTTTTAGTATAAGTATGTTATAAATATTGCATAGAACATACTTATATAAAAAATGTTATTCATTGTTTAGCTGAAATTCACATGTAACTGAGAATCTTATATATTACCTGGCACCACTAAATTGAAAGTTTATTTTACTTTAATTATGTTCTCCAGATAAAAAGTGTAGATAAATTGGTAGGTAACTTCCTTGAATATGTCAAGTATTCCAGACCTGATGAAAGATCTCATTCCTTCAATCAGCTGAGATTTCTTTGGTTCCTACTGTATCCTAAACTGTACTCTGCTACTGTCTTCATCTGCTCTTTTCCTTCTTTCTTATTTTTTAGTGATGCACAGTCCGTTTGGTTCTCAGGCTCTATACTTTCATCACTTTTAATTTTTACCCATCCACAGTCCAAACAGTTGCTAAGTCCTAGTCAGTCTCTGTCTCTCTCATCTTCCTCTTTCCATTCTTGTTTTCCCCTCACCCCATTTTCCCTCTCATCCACATAACTGGATTCTTTCTCATTCACCACAAACACCTCAAAAGTCTTCACCAACCCCAAAGAACTTGTCTTGCCCTTGCAATGCTTGGCTGTTCTAGCCTATTCTTTTGCTATTGTATTTCTTGAAAAAATAGTCTGTAACTGCTTTCACAATTTTTTCACTCCCACTCATTTCTCAGCTTATTGTACTTCTTTTCCCCATCATTCCGATGACTTTTTGCTAGTCTTTTGCCATGTGTTCACTACCATTGTGGATACCCTCAATCTTTTGCACTCTTTTTTTTCCAGCACATTTTCCCTATGTAGTTTAAGTCTTTTAACTTCAGCAGTCAGGTCTTTGCAGATGACCCCTAAGTCCATGTCTCCAAACGACATCTTTTCTAGATCCAGGTCTTCAGATCCATTGGATATCCCTCCAAGCATTTCCAAACTCCTAACACCAGACATCGAGGGGAATGACAATATAGTTGTAATAGGAAGTTATAAACATCATAAGGAAAAGAGATAATGTGCTGTGAGAGTTCTAATAGGCAGAGAGGGCTTTTGAAATTATGTTCCTCCTTGTCTTGTTCCTACTGTTCTGATTTAACCATTTAAACACTATGTATGGAATTTTGCAAAGGAAGTAAAGATCAAAACCACAGAGAAGTGAGAATCACCAACAAGGTGTAAAGAAACAGTAACAGTGACATGAGTTAAGAGTCTTCTCCGTTAAGCCTGGAGCAGACAATGGTGGCCAGACAAGGGTGGTAGCAGTGGTTGTGGGTTAGTTTGTTTATGATATGGACCCTGCCTGAAGTTTTATGGAGTTAACCTTCATGGATATCAGCTTATATGGATTAGTAACACCAAAATAACAAAAATAATATAGATGCCTTTTCAGTGATACTTAAATAAAATTATTTATTAGCTGAAGGTTAAGTTTTATGGGAGTGGGAAACTTTGTGTTTTGAAATATTATATGTGCTGAGGTGTATACATGCTGCCGGAAGCTTTTGTACTTAAGTCTTTAATGATGGATGTTGTTTGGAGGCTAAATTTTCTGTATCATGATATAAAGAATCATTTGAGGCTTACAAAATACTGATATTGGCATTTTAAGTTGATGTAAGCAAGAAAATATGTCTTGTTTCATGTACATCTGTATAGTTTTCACCTCAACATGTACCTCTGTAAGAAAATCAATAGCACTGCCTGTTGGGATTGTTTTAATGCAGCTTACCTCTTTGGGGAACTCTAGTTACGAAGAAAGATTCTGGTGATAATAAAGTGCTGAAGTGAAATTATGGTAAATTTTTGATGATTTTAAAACAGAGAAGTTTGTTACCTGTTATGACCTCTGCTAAAAACATTCTACTACTCAGCTATAAAAACGAATGAAATACTGCCATTTGCAACAACATGGATGGACCTTGAGAGAATAATATTGAGTGAAACGAGTCAGGCAGAGAAAAAGAAATACCACATGTTCTCACTCATTGGTGGGAGCTAAAAAATAAACAAATTAATTCACACACATACACACACAAAATAAACTGGGGGGGGGAAGATAAAACAACTATAGTTTTTTGAAGTTGTTACAACAAGCAAACGGAAAGGACATTCTGGGGGGGGATGGGAGAGAGGGAGGAGGGCGGGAGGTGTCGGTAATGGGCCATAATAATCATATACATTGTATATTGAAAAAAAAAAAATATTGGTGGGAGCTAAAAGAAAAAAAATAATAATAATAAACAAATTAATTTACCCACAAACACACACACACACACACGCACACACAAAAAAAGAAACCGGGGGGTGTGGGGTGGGGAAGAAGATATAACAACTATACTTTTTTTGTAGTTGTTACAACAAACAAACGGAAAGGACATTCTTGGGGGGGAGGGGAGAGAGGGAGGAGGGCGGGAAGTGTCGGTGGTGGGCCATAATAATCATATACATTGTATATTGACAAAATAAAAAATTAAAAAAAAAAAAAAACATTCATATGCAGAAATCAGAAAAACAAAATGAAACACGATTAATCACCTTTCAAAAGTAGAGTTTGATAAAAGAGCAATTATGCAATTTAGCTGTTTACAAGTTGAAACTAATATAGAAAAAATAATTCAGGGAAAGCTCTAGAGTTTATTTTTTATTGACTTATGTAAGCACTTTACCTTTTGAGCTCTATAAAAATATGTATTCTTTCTGGTGAGAGACTCTTCTTTTATGACTAGATCACACACATTAAGAGAATTGATTGAATAGTAAAAGATGTTGATGATGTGTTTGGTGTGAGGTAGAACTCTTCAAGAGAAATTTATCTTTCCACATTTTTTTGCAAGGTGTCTTAAATTACTGTTCTGTTAGCACATGACATACCCACTAGCCCTGGACCTCAGTGGAATAAAGTTACAGGTATTTACAATGTTTCTAACCTAATACGCCCAGTTCTTCCCACCCAGCCACATTGGTGTCCATTTGGACAGATCAGATTTTGAAAATCTCTCTCGAGGAAGTAGCCATAATTGTCACCGTATGCAAGAAATCTCTCTGTATAGCAGAAGAAACTCACTTACAGGATAAGTATTTAAGAAGGCTCAAATATCAGTATAAGAAAGAGTTGTGCAGAAATTTTGTTAAGCAAGGGAATGAGCTACCAGGAAACTGTTCGTTGCAGAAAATGTTCAAGCAGCGGATGAATGTCTGTCTTTCAATACCATTGAATACTAGGGGTGAGAAATCTGATTACATTATCTCTGAGTTTCCTCCGAACTCTAATGTTCCAGAAAAAGATCCTTAGGCTTAGAGGTTATTCACTTTTGGTTGAATAGTAATTCAAGTAAGTTAGCTGTTTTGGGAGCAGATTCTGATACAGGGATTTCAGGTGCATGTAATTTAATGAGAGTGGTCTTATTAAAAAGCAGTATAGGACAGGGAAACAGTTAAAAAAGGTTGTGGTCTCAGCTGGGTGTAGCTTCCGCCTGATCCTGTGGGGAGCTCTGGAGCATAAACTGTATCATAGAATTACTACCACTTTGAGACAGGGTGGTAGTTTTATACCCCCGGTTAGTGTTGGTCAGTATTTGGCTGTGAGAGGGCATAATGTTCCAAGTGAGGTAGCCCTTGTGTGGCTAATGGCAGTTCTCCAGAGAGTGGGCCAGCTGAGAACTGATAGTAGTTAATGCTCAGACTAGCTGGGGAATGGGTGCATTGGTCCTATCCACTATGGCAACAAAAGGATTCTCCTATATTAGGCACAGAAATAGGAACAGGAGTGAACTGCTGGAGAGAAGCACTGACAGCATGACAGCAATACATGAAAACGGACCTGTACGCTTGAGGCCATGAAACATAGGGATGGATAGCCCATACATAACTCCACAGCCTCAGCGGCATCACAGCAGATTCCAGTAGCAGATGCTCATAGTGCTGACCCACAGTCAATAAGAAAAAAGTGATACTTTATTAGGATGTGCACTTGAAAAAGCAGGAACCATCGACACTTTTATAGTTTAATTCCTTAAATCACCAGTCTCTAGTTGTTAGAAAAGAAATAGCATTTATTTGTGAAAGTGCTTGGTAATTGAGTAGTTAACTTACTCTTACTTTTAGAGCATTAACCATAGGGCCATCAGGTAGAAGCATAAGAAGCTGTGCATTACAAAAGTAAGTACTTTTTGAACAATAGAAGTGTTTCATAGAGTCTCATATTTTGAGACTTGGGATATTAATGTGTCTTGGTTTACTCTCAGGAAGGTTGACAGGAAAGAAGGACTTTGTGGTTTGTTTCTGTTGAACAAATAAAGTGATTGAAAGGCTGTAGCCCAAACTAGGTAACGAATTACATTATTCTCATTGTGTTTTCAATAATTGCTAGCCTCTTGGCCCCTATTACCTGTTATTCCATTAACACCTCATCAAGTTTCACCCTCTAGTGGTTATCTTCAGACAGTTTTACAGAAACTTTTAGCATAATCCCTATATAGCCCCTCAAGTATCAAAAGCTGCTTTTGATATGTCAGTGTTCTCTAGAAAATTTAATTTTTTTTTTCTTTTTCAGTACCATAATACTACCTTTGACTGGGCATTTTTGTCAAAGAAGGAGTGTTTGAAGTACGGAGGAAAGCTCGTGGGGAACAGCTGCGATTTTGTTCCGGATATCACACTCATGTCTTTCATCCTCTTTCTGGGCACATACACCTCTTCTATGGCTCTGAAAAAATTCAAAACTAGTCGTTATTTTCCAACCACAGTAAGTATCTGAGCTTTAAATAATTTTCATTGGATTCACACCGAGTCAACATTAACACAATTTAACAAAATGAAAAAGGCCCATGTAATTCAACCTGTCCAATATAATTTTGTGCATTTAAAACATTACTTTCAAATCTTTGTTCACCTCCGTACATATTTAACATAATTCGCAATTGTAGTCCAGTTTTGAAAAACCTTCCAAGGTGCTGTCATAATTCTGTCATAAATTCTGACTATCATAATTCTGAATGTTCTGAAAGGAGAAAGTGGAATGTGTTCTATCTAAAAATGTATGTGAAGAAAAATACCTTTTAAATTCATAGTGTTTAAGTACTGAGCAAAAACTCTTAGTATTAATCACAATTTTGATGTAAATAGTTTTGCTCATCAGCTGTGCATGTGAATATTTTAGTACTTGAATTATGCGCTGTGGGAGTACACTTAAACTGTGCTGTTACGCAAGTATTGGTATAACATACAACTGTCATCGGAGCCAGACTTTCCTTTCCATAATGATGAATGTCATAGTACGGAGAAACAGATAATTGAACTGGGTTGGTTGTGCAGACATCCTGTCTCCCACTAATATGCATGAGTGAACTTAGAGTCAAAACTGGTTCTTTGAGACACTACAAGATAAGACCAACATTTAGTTAATGGCATTTTGTTCTTTTCCTGCAGAATGAAACTAAGATGATGTTTTGCTTTACAGCTCAGTTCTTAGTGTTTAGGATGCCAATATTTCTTAGTTAATCTTGATTACACCTGATTTATATCAGTCACCCAGTCTATACAGCTGGCATCTCATGAAATCTCTCCTCTTGTGTTTTGTGTAGAAAGAATGGGAGAACTTCAGAAGATGAGATGCACTTGATGAAATTCCTTTTTCTAATTCCTTAAAATGAAACTTAAAATTAATATATTCACTTTCTCCCAAGAAATTTTTGAGTCTTTGATTCTTCTTATAAAATTGAAAATAAAGGAAAGGATCGATAATGAAATGTTTGGAACTAGATGACCAATAACAAAAATTTTTTACAAAGCGAAAAATGGAAAGAAGCATTCAACTTAGTCTGGTTGAAATGGACATCACAAACTGGTGGTCCACAGGTAGAAATCAGCTCACAGCCATTCTTTGTTTAGTGCACAGTGTATAAACACACATACTACACACACACACACACACACACACACACACACACACACACACACACACACACACGAGACCTTAGGTGGAACCTGTACTTTGCAGGTAGTCATTGTCATCACAATTCTTTGTTATCTAAGACTTGATGCTTCACACATTCAGATTAACTGACTGTCACTGAACACATCTGAGGTTGTGATCTCAGCTCACAAATTGGGAAATGTGTTTACTTGATCTACCCCTTCAACTGCATGAGTTTTATGTAAGACAGATTCCTGGATAAAGGTCTTTGAGGACAATTTCTTCTCTATTGGGGTTTCTCCTTCTTAATTATTAGTTCATTGGGCATCTTGGTTTTCGTTTGTTTTTTTTGTTTTTGTTTTTTTTTGTCTTTTGTCTTTTTTCCGTGTCCGGCAACGGGATCGCAAGCCTCGGTGTTGCTCCCGCGCCTCGCTCAGCCAGTGAGCGGGAGCCGGTCTGTATGTGGGATCCGAACCCTCGGACGGGAGCGCCGCCGCGCTTCCCAAGCGGCGCACTATCCAGTGCGCCACCGGGCCGGCCCTCGTTTGTTTGTTTTTGTTGGCTTACACTTTGCAAACCATCATCACCTGCCAAAGTTTGATATTAGTTAAGCATAGTAGGTGGAACAGTGGAAAATTTATGAACCACTTGTATATCATAATTTGCAAAATAAACTAGTTTCAACCTTAATATGAATAGATAATTGTTTCCCTTAAAATGTTTTAATCTTAATTGACAAATAATAATTGTAAGTATTTGTGGAGTACAATGTGATGTTTTAGTATATGTATGTTGTGGAATGACTAAACAAAACTAATTAATATATTCATACTTATTTTTTGATACTTATTTTTTGTGGTGAGAGCATTTAAAATCTGTTTTTAGCAATTTTGAAGTATATAACACATTGTTGTAGTTAATAACTAGTCATCATGCTGTAGGATGAATATCAAAAACATATTACTCCTGTCTAACTGTAAACATTGTGCCCGTTGACCAACATCTCCCCCTGCCTGTTCTCCCACTCTTGCCTCTGGTAACCACCATTCTACTCTTTACTTCTATGAGTTCTGCTTTTATAGCTTCCATATATAAGTGAGATCATGCAGTATTTGTCTGGTGCCAGGCTTATGTCACTTCACATGATGTCCTCCAGGTTCATCCATCTTGTCACAAATGACAGGATTTCCTTCTTCTTTAAGACTGAATAGTATTCCATTGTGTATATATGTCACCTTTTCTTTATCCATTCATTTCTTGATGGACACTTTGCTTAATTCCATATCTTGGCTATTGTGAATAATGCTGCAAAGAAGATGGGAATGCAGACATCTCTTCAACATACTGATTTCATATCCTTTGGCTACATACCCAGTAGTGGAATTGCTGGATCATGTGGTAGTTCTGTGTTTAATTTTGGGGGGAGAGTTTATACTGTTTTTCATAATAGCTGTACCAATTTACATTCCCACCAGGAGTGTACAGTGCTTCCCTTTTCCTCACCTACACTTGTTACCTTTTGTCTTTTTGATAATAACCATTCCAGCTGGTGTGAAGTCATATCTCACCGTGGTTTTAATTTGCAGCCCCCTCATAATTAGTGAGGTTGAGCATTTTTTTCACATTCCTATCCATTCCTGACCATTTTTATGTCTTCTTTTGAGAAACATCTATGCAGGTCTTTTGTCTATTTTTAATTTTTTTCAAAAAAAGTTTTTGTGGAAACATAATTGATTTTACACGTTTGTGGGGGTACAGAGTTGAATATCAATACCTGTGTATAATACATGATGATCAAGTCAGGATAATTAGCATATTCATCATTGAAAAAAATGTAAGCATTCTTTGTGTCCATTAACTATTTTCTTGATAACCCTATCATCCTCGCCCTTTCCCACTTCTAGTAATTACAGTTCTGTTCTCTCCTTCTGAAAGTTCAACTTATATTATTGTGATTGTTCTATCTTTGTTTGTTTCTTTCTTATAAGAAAGAAACACTTATGAGCGAGGACATGTATTTCTCTTTCTGTCCCTGGCTTATTCGCTTAACGTAATTTTCTCCAAGCTCATCCAAGTTGTTATAAATAGAAAAATTTCATTCTTTCTTATGGCTGAGTTGTATTCCATTGTCTACATACACCATGTTTTCCTTATCCAGTCATCTGTTGGTGGACATACAGGTCAGGTCCAACTCTTGGCTATTGTAAATAGAGCTGCGATGAATATGAGAGTGCAGATATCACTTCAACATGATGAATTCCATTCCTTTGAGAATATATCCAGCAGTGAGGTTGCTGGATCATATGGCAGTTCTGTCGATTTTGAGGAACCTCCATACTGTCTTCCATAATGACTGTACTAATATACAGACCCAGTGATAGTGTAGGAGGGTTCCCCTTTCTCCATATCCTTGCCAGCATTTGTTATTCTCTGTCTTTTTGATAATAGCCTGTCTAATTGCTGTGAGATGATATCTCAGTGTGGTTTTGATTTAGATCACCCTGATGCTGAGTGATGTTGAGCATTTTTTTCATGTTCCTGCTGGTCATTTGTATGTCTTCCTTTGAGAAATGTCTGTTCATATTCTTTGCCCATTATTTAATCAGATTATTATTATTTTTTCACTGTTAAGTTGTTTGAGTTCCCCGTATATTCTGGATGTTACTTCCTTGTTGGATGTATAGTTTGTAAATATTTTCTTCCATTCTGTAGGTTGTCTTTTCACTCTGTTGGTTGTTTTCTTTGCTGTGCAGAAGATTTTTAGTTTGATATAATCTCATTTATTATTTCTTTTATTTCTTGCCTGTGCTTTGGGGGTCATATTCATAAAACCCTTGCCCGGTCCTACTTCCTGAAGTGTTTCCTCTATGTTTTCTTCTATGAGTTTTATAGTTTTAGGTCTTTATATGCTTTTAAGCCATTTTGAGTTGATTCTGATATATGGCAAGAGGTACCAGTTTAGTTGCATTCTTCTACTCATGCATATCCAGTTTTCCCAGCACCATTTATTGAAAAGGCTGTCCTGTCCCCAGTGTGGGTTCTTGGTGTCTTTGTCAAAGATCAGTTTGCTGTAAGTGTGTGGGTTGGCTTCTGGGTTCTCTATTCTGTTCCATTGGTCTAAGTGTCTGTTTTTATGTCAGCACTATGTGGTTTTGGTTACTATAGCTTTGTAGTATAATTTGAAGTCAGGTAGTTTAATGCCTCCAGGTTTATTTTTATTTGGTCAGGATTGCTTTGGCTCTTTGGGTTTTTTTGTTGTTCCATATGAATATCAGGATTGTTTTTTATATTTCTGTAAAGAATGTCATTGGTATTTTGATTGGGATTGCATCGACTCTGTAAATAGCTTTGGTAACAGGGAATTTTCTACAATGTTAAATCTTCTACTCTATGACCACGGAATGTCTTTCCATCTTTTTGTGTCCTTTTAAATTTCTTTTAGCAGAGATTTGTAGTTTTTTAAAAAATTTATCAATATACAATGTGGCTAATTTTTGTGTCCCTTTACCAATTCCTCCTTTTCCCCCTTTCCTCTCCCCCCCCCCCCCACATCAACAACATATCTGTTCACTTGTCTTAACAAGTTCAAGGAATTGTTATGATTATGTCTCTCCCTGCCCCCCCATTTGTTTGTTTGTATATTTATTTATTTATTTTTAGCACCTCCCACAAATAAGTGAGAACATACGGTATTTCTCTTTCTGTGCCTGGCTTATTTCTCTTAATGTACTTTTCTCTAAGTCCATAGGATTTATTGGTATTGTTGTCTCTTCCCCCCACTCCCCACTTGTTTGAACATTTATTTATTTTTATTAGCTTCCACAAGTTAG